ATTCACTGTCCTTTATTTGTTTAACCAATAAATACATGTGTTCAACGAGACGTGACTATGTATGTATGAATGTACGATAAAGGGATAAATTATTACAATTATGTTTTGCAACAATGGGACTTTCAAATGGGTGGTTCTATGGCGCCCTCATTAGGTCACACACTAAATGTTAAGGAAATGCTAAAAGTATCAAATAAATAAACATTATAGAGCTCTAAAATTGACAAAATAGTAATTAACTTAAAGCTAGGCTAAAACAAAATTGACCTGTAATATTAATGAATTTAACCAGTTTTCAACTAGTTTTGAATGCATCTGGGCACTGGCTGCGCGGCTACTAAAAGTTTTTTTTTTCTCTGGGCTTTTTCCGCCATTCCTCGTAATAAACCTTGATACATATGCGAACAAATCAATAATATAATCTGTATATAACAACACAACATTTTATCACTTTTTTTGTGTTATCGTGGAACAAGATAACACCAAAAAATAAGTAATACCATATTAGAAAGGTCTATCAATAAATGATAACCCAAAAACAACCATTGTGTTGATTAGAAAATAAAACAAAATGGCAACAATACAACAGACATGAAGACAGGGATCTTCTGGCATCCAAGATTTGCTGGAAATTTGCCACAAATTGCCAATTATGTTTGTTTTTAGGCCACTTATAGTATGCAGGATGTGGCCCATATCTGGCTGACATCTGTTTCATCCACCATTTTTCATGTACAGAACTGCCATATATTTGCCACATGTGGCCCATGTTTGATTTGCTATATTTGGGCCACATATAGTATGCAGGATGTGGCCCACATCTGGCTGACATCTGTTTCATCCACCATTTTTCTTTTACAGAACTATCATATATTTGCCACATGTGGCCCATGTTTGATTTGTTATATTTGGGCCACAAAGAGTATGCAGGATGTGGCCCACATCTGGCTGACATCTGTTTCATCCACCATTTTTCATTTGCAGAACTGCCATATATTTGCCACATGTGGCCCATGTGTGATTTGTTATATTTGGGCCACATATAGTATGCAGGATGTGGCCCACATCTGGCTGACATCTGTTTCATCCACCATTTTTCATTTACAGAACTGCCATATATTTGCCACATGTGGCCCATGTTTGATTTGCTATATTTGGGCCACAAAGAGTATGCAGGATGTGGCCCACATCTGGCTGACATCTGTTTCATCCACCATTTTTCATTTACAGAACTGCCGTATATTTGCCACATGTGGCCCATGTTTGATTTGCTATATTTGGGCCACAAAGAGTAGGCAGGATGTGGCCCACATCTGGCTGACATCTGTTTCATCCACCATTTTTCATTTACAGAACTGCCGTATATTTGCCACATGTGGCCCATGTTTGATTTGCTATATTTGGGCCACAAAGAGTATGGAGGATGTGGCCCACATCTGGCTGACATCTGTTTCATCCACCATTTTTCATTTACAGAACTGCCGTATATTTGCCACATGTGGCCCATGTTTGATTTGCTATATTTGGGCCACATATGGTAAGCAGGATGTGGCCCACATCTGGCTGACATCTGTTTCATCCACCATTTTTCATTTACAGAACTGCCATATATTTGCCACATGTGGCCCATGTTTGATTTGCTATATTTGGGCCACATATAGTGTGCCTGATGTGGCCCACATCTGGCTGACATCTGTTTCATTTGGGCCGTAACAATGCCATGTGACCCACATGTTTGCCACATGTGGCCCACATCCGCTTGCTATCTGGGTAGGAACCTTTCTCAGTTCCTGGTTTTAGTTCTTGTTCCTATTTTGGAAGCGTTAACATGTAATAGGAACTAGTGCTGTCAAAAGTATCCGAAATCAGATATTTGTCAGTTTTAACTCTTGTATAGAAACGAGATACTTGCTTGAGCAAGTAAAAAAAAAAATGGGATTCTTGGATAAATAAATAAAAAAACTAAATCAGAAGTTTATTCACCATAAAAAACGAGCAAAAAGAGTATTTTGAGTTTACAGTTCAAAATTAGAATATAATTTTGGTTTTTATATTATTATTATTTTATTTTATATAATTGCTGTCTCCATGTTGTTATTGTTAGTTAAAATTATTTCATGTCATGAAATAAAATTTGGCATTTAGTATCATGACAACACTAATGGAATCAGAGAGAATCGGACCACAGTGACTTTTTAGCTTCTGCTCTGGGGCTGGTTCTCTCTCGTCAGACCAGGAACCTTTTGGTGAAATACACTGAACTTTTTACAAAAATTCTTTTGTAGATTTATTCACTCTCAAAGGATTGTTTGTCAAGTAGAATTGACATCTTCATAATTTTTACCAAACCTATTTACAAATGTCTAATATCTAATAGATTCATATACAACATAAGAGGAAGATATTTGTCATCGTGTTGAACAAAAATATAAGAACATCAATTTTATAAACATAATTATTTTTGTTTATTTTATGCAAGCCTCTCTTACCTGGACCTCGTGTCTGTAATAAAATTTACTAATAATAATAATGATTAAAGTACTCTAGCCCTAACCCCAAAGGAGGCATACATATATTTGTTATTCCTTCATATAACATCATAGCACTTTATCTTTGTCTCTCTAAACAGTATGTAAATGTTAACATTGACAAATATAGCCTTTTCCTAATATTATGCTTAGAAATAAATATGCTTCTGTCAAAGGTTGCCATCTATTTCTCCTTATCTTCTGTGATTCATTCTGGTTCTTGTTAGTTACCCCCGGCACTGGCCAACAATTCCTTACATAATGATTACATCAGTCTAGAATTGTGGATTACAGCAGAGTCTCCTCGTTATAAAGCAAACATGAGTGTGTTTATGTGTTTTATTTGTTTATAAAGGTTTCAATAGTGCACATGCCCTATTGATTTGATTACTCTTTCCCCTATAGAGCATAAACATGGGGGAGACCGGCTGTGTGTTTAGACAAGCGTTACTTAAGGAGTCTAAGAAATGCAGCTGGGATTTCAAAACAGTTTGTGGAAATGTGTGGTGTTTTTTTCATCACCAGCACAAATTTTACATTTTGTTTGTTCCAAGATAAAGAGTCTGTGAACAGATCAGACCAAAACATGCTGTCTTCATCCTATTCCATTTAATCTTTTGCATACTTGTAGGCTCCGTCCTGTGAGTCACAACATTGGGCTGATTGGCTGACACTTTTTAACTACTGTCTGATAAAACTGATCTAAAGATTCAAGAGTCAAGAAAGTATTTGTCATTTGCAGTAAAACCACATTGGAAAAACTGTGCAAGACGACCCCAGTGTGCACCAGGATAGTAAAGATGTAACAGAAATCATAGAATATGTGCTTGAGCAAACTAGTGCGATAACCAAACTGTTTTAAGAGCAAGGAACAAGTGAGATCGATTTTTATTACATTGTTCTGCGGGTAGTGTGTGGAAGTTAAATACCTCAGATTTAATAGAATTGAATGTAAAATTGTGTTAGTGTTTTATTGAATTCTGATAAGGGAGGTGTTCATGTAGAAACAGGACAAATCTGTTAAACTTCTGTTGTGTTATTTTGGGCTAAAGTCCAGCTGAGGCTATAAATCCAGATTTGTGCTTTTCATTTCGGAAAAAATACTCGCACAAAGTCCAATGGGATTTGCCGTCAACTTGTTCATTTCTCTCTGTGGAGTCATCTGTACTTTTGGGAATGCAAGTTTGCCTGATGGTCCCAGAACCCTTCTACAATAACTTTACAAAATGTAAAGTTCTGTGAGAAAGTAGCAAGAAAATTCTGTAAGATGGATTTTCAAATAAAACTCACAATCAATAAACATGGGCACAGTTTGAAAAGATTACGTTTAGATTATTCTAGTCAGACAATTGCATTACCTTAGTTTTAGTTTTTCCGACTAAAACTGTGTCAAGGTGTGAAACAATAAAAACATGAATTCATTTTCAACCCTTTGTTCATTTCTGGGTCGGGGGTGGCAATGACAGCTGCCACCCAATGCTCATAGCACCTCCGATCCTCCGGTAGGTGGGGAGCTTGCCCAGGGACACAACGGCAGCAGACATCAGTGGGAGCAGTTGGAGTAGGTCTTGTGGGGGATCGAACCCATGAGCGACTGTCACCCCCTCACAATAAAAACAGTTCCATTCAATTTATGTTTTAAGTTGTCTCTGAAGACTACAAAGTTGCAGATTCACCAACAACAGTTCAAAGAAATTAACAGTTCGAACACGTAGGAGCCATTGGTCCATTGTGGGCGGAATGACCAATGTCCAAAAATGTAGACATTGGGACAAAAATGTGAAAACACTTTATACACTCTGTACCTTTCCTTATAGAAGAAACTAAGAGTATGTTAAAATCAACTCCACGTGCAGCTTCTGGAGGCCCTGAGTATTCACATGTTTAATTACACTAAGAATGGAAACCTGTTTATTTAGCTCCAACTGGTTTCAGTCAAAAACAATTTAGAAATCTATACCTTTCACTTCTTCAGACACAGAAACCTAGTCTATGTTGAGTGCCCACTCTGGACTTTCTGAGGAGTCTGGAGTAATGTGATATTTTAATTAAACCTTAAACAATGTTATCTGTGTGGCCTCTCTCACTTGGTGGGGCCCATTGAATTAAAGATAAATTTAACTACAGGTTCTCCCAGGAGTATTGCACTTTGTCATGACCTCAAGGAGGGTTCGTTTCTTTGACGGCGAATCATTAATATATGTTCAATTTTAACTTCATACAAATACAAATAAGCACCTTGCTACATTTGAACCACTTTATAAACATACAAATAAAAAAACAATTGTTATAAAATAGTTTTTCATTGAAACAAAATGGTATAGGCTGTTGCTTTCCTTGTCCACCTTTGTTATAGCGTTAACATAATGTGTTTGGAGATTTGGGGGGTGGGAGGTAATATAACAGCCCATAGTTGTAATTATATCATATATACTTTTATGCTTTAATACTAAATTTGAATGTCTTCTACAGATCGTGAAGACCAGTCCATTCTTTGCACGTAAGTAATGGAATTATTCTTATCTTTCACTACTTAATCTAGTCTGACTGTTATTGTCGACGGTACAAAACAGACTATGTTTGTAAAGTCACAAGTAAGTAAGTAATGTTTTTTATATAGCGCATTTTATAGACCAAGGTGCGCTTTACAATGTTCAAAGTTCAGATATTTTTCCATTCTGTCATGGTGATGACAGAAGCGAGACGTACCAATTGTACATGTTTTTAAGTGGTAGGGGAAACCGGAGCACCCGGAGGAATCCTCTTTAGACACTGGGAGAATATGCAAACTCCACACAGTAAGGCCTGGAGGTGGAATCAAACCCAGGACCTTCTTGCTGTGAAACACAAGCTCTAAGATTGCCCAAGTGTTTACAATCCGAAAATTAGTCTGACGGTATATGGTATTATAATGTTTTGAGCATGAAGGACTTGGCTCTGATCCCAGTGGACTGAGGCCTTGGTCGCTCTCAGACTCGGGTCAGGAAGTTGGCCTACATCCTGATGGGAAGATTAGCTCCCTAATGTCCATGTTGTTTGTTTGTTAACTTTAAATGGATTATTGAGAACTATGATTCAGGCGTCAACCAAGAGCAGGACAGCATGTTATTGTGATTGTCTCAAGACCCACGCATCCCCTGACGGAGGAAAGTGATGGACTGATAGACAAAATGATTACTATATTACTTACTATTATGTTACCTTTTAGTAGCAGCCAATTCAAAAACACAATTTATCAGGCTATAATAATGTGAATTACTGCAATATAGGCCATTATGTCTCACAAAAGTAGGAAGGAAGTCGGATTAAGGAAAGTCAGGAAGTGTGTAATGTTCTTAATGTTGTGAGAGATCAGCTGTGCTGCTACCCGGCTAAATCTTTGGATAACTTTAAATTATAAGACTCAATGTTTCTTGTTTCTCAATGGAAAAAAATCACTTTGGTCCCAATCTATAGCAGCTGTAGTTTGATAAATGATAGATTTAATTATAGCCATGAAAATGGTTTAATTCGGGGTAAAAGCTGCAGTTTGGTCTGAGCTGCAGCTGCAGCCTTATAAGGCAGAAACATTTGAGCAGAACATGGAATGTCATGTATGAGCTTCTGTGTTCGTGTGTGCGTGTGCTTGCGTGTGTGTGCTGTTCGAATATGTTGTGCGTATTTACAGCATTTTAGGGCTAATGATGAACTGACCTAAAGAAACAGTAGATTGTGTTCTGAATGTCATCAAAGAAACTGGAAACGCAAATGAAAGACTCATGTGATTCTGCTTTCATAATGGATTGTCAGCTTGAGAACCAAAGTATCATGTTATGTGGCCATCATGAAATTATAACATTTGGATCAGAAAAGGTGAAATATGAATAGATGTAATTCAAATTTTGTACACAGTTTCTTTAGTTTTTACTAAGCAAAAACTATATTATTCTGTAGCATTTCTAGTAGAGAAATAATGTTTACCCATACTGAGGTCCCCTTCACCCCCTTATAACTGCATTCAAAGCAACAGTAGATCTGATATTTGTATTTGCTATGATTACAATGGAGAAAGTGAAATGTTGAGATTGATGAAATAGAAGGTAAGGTTAGGAAATTTACTAGAAAATAAAACATTCTAAATCCTAAACTAGAAAAGCCCTCGTAGAGCACAGACCTCTGCATTGAGGCTCAGTTCCATTCCTTTAAACAAATCCTGCATCCAGGCTCACTGACAAACAGACAAATGCCGATGATTACTTTACCTCCTGAGAATAGGTCATGATAAATACATTTAAACCATTCCTTCATAATGAACCATGTGTGTCAGGATTTCTGGGACTTCGTCTGAAGTGGCCGACACTGGGAAGGTCCTGTGTGTGTGTTAGATTTGTTTGTCTGATAAACACTGGGAAATGTTGCTCTTATCGGAACAATATCTTTAATGATTTAGTGGCACGACATTCTCCATCAGTGTTTAGTTCAAAACCCTTCAACCACATTGTCTAGTGTGAGTCTGGAGTGTGCATAGATGATTGGTCACATTGAGGTACATTGAGTTATTTTCTTGGAAATGTGCTATACATTTAAATATTCTTCTGTCTCAGTGGAGAGTCTGGCGCTGGCAAAACTGAAAACACCAAGAAAGTGATCCAGTATTTGGCTGTCGTGGCCTCTTCACACAAAGGCAAAAAGGACAGCAGCGCGGTAAGTTTCACAATCTGTTTCCGAGGCACTTTCCTTGCTCTTACGAAGGAGGTGATCAATATTTGTGGGAGTGAAGTTCCCTAAAGTTTAACTCTGTATATCGCCATTTCCTCCAAATAGCAACAATCAGGATCACAGTTTGCTTACGTGAGTAAAGGCCTGGCGTGTGTTTTGTGTGGTGTACGTGTGTTTCTTTCTAGGTTCGAAAAGTGCATGAAGAAAGTAGTTTTTTTTACACAAAGGGTTCCTGGAGCTCCATAGAAAGCCCTCATCCTAAAACCTGACACCACTGTAGTGTTTATTTCGTCTGCATGCCCTAGTAAGCACAATTAGGAGCGAGATAAATCCTTTAGTTAGGACGTCGGGTTTCATCTGGCCTTGTCCTGAACTTTGATTTTCCTGACACACTTCCACTGGCAGCGAGGAAGACGAGGCCTCGCTGACAGTGAAAGTCTCCTTCACAGACCGATGCACAAGTGTGAGCATGAACCAACTCCTTTCTCAAAAACATCCAACATCACCTCATCTTTATGTTTGTGGTTGTAAACCTGACGAAATGTGCAAAAGTTCAGTTTGTATTAGTACTTTTGCAAGCCACTGTATATAATAAATCCTTTGATCCTTATCCTTTATGACAAATTAATGTGACGGATTATAGACAGATAGCAAAACACTCTTTTCCTAGTTTAAAGAATGGATTATATAAAGTAGGAGGTGGACATTTTCACAGTGAGGACGTTTTTCTGGACAGGATAAATATATATTACGGTATACACTCAAAGACTTTACATGCAGTATTCTTTAACTAGAGCAATAAACACCCTGTTCAAAACAGCCCTTTAGGTGCCAAAGTAGCAGAATCGCTGCATATAATTATACACTTAAATCTGTTGATACTTCAGGATTCTTTAGGTAGAGCAATACAAACATTTCTACACTATATTTACAACAATGGTAGTGAGTGTTAAAAATGAAAATAAACAGCATATAAAGTGGAAAAAGTGTGATGTCAGCAACAGTATGATACAGTATTGACATTAAGGGAATGGGAGCTTGAAGTTATCTAAATCATTTTTCCACCGGCCCATTTGACTTTATGGTAATGACTGATTTTGCTTTTTTTCAAGGTGTTTTGAAGCAATAAACAGCTTCCTGACACACTGAGAAACGTTCTGGTCTAAGCAACAACTTCTTCATTCAAACATGTTTTCATTAGATAAGAGAAACTATTATACTCTCTGACCAGCTAAAAACTTCTACTGAGTGTGACTATGTACGGATACTTAGCAGAAAGTAGTTAATAATAGTTGATGATGTAATAACTACACTTTTGTCTTTGTCGCTTTTTCATGTAGTTGTAATTTCCCTTTTCAACCAAGACAACTCTTCACTCTGCTTTGCCAACTCTGATCTGCCTTCATCTGCTGGTCTGTACCTGTCTGTCTATTTCTGTATTTCTTCTTGTAACAAAACCAGATGTAAACAAAACCGGTATTATCTATGTTTCTTTAGTGCTCACATAAACCTTGAACTGCTTAGTGTGTAGAGTTTTTGAGGTAGAAAATATTTGAGATGTTGCGATGTCCCGTCCCTGACCCTTGGAGCTTTGATCAGATGGATTATCTCAACGCGCACTGAAAGGACTCTGCCAGTGCACCAATGTAGTACAGTATGATTTTAATAGCAATAATAGTGTATTTTTATTTGACTAATGAAAAGGAATAGGTGTCAAAATGCTATTCATGTTCATTCTAAGTTCATTCTTGCAGTGATTTCTTCCAAGTTCTTCTATTTTCACCAAAACGTCAAAATATTTAAACTATGATCGTGCTTGCTCACTGTTGCCACTAGGGGGAGCTGGAGAAACAGCTTCTGCAGGCTAACCCTATCCTTGAAGCCTTTGGAAATGCAAAAACCATCAAAAACGACAACTCTTCAAGATTTGTAAGTGTGCTGTTTTTCCCATGTGATTTGTATATATTTAATTTCTATTATTCTTCATTGCAGGGTAAATTCATCCGTATTAATTTTGATGTGACTGGCTACATTGTTGGAGCCAATATAGAGACCTGTATCCTTTGTGACATTTACAAGTTACTAATTATTTAACAATATTTCTTAAGTCGGCCGGGTGCATGGCGTCTTTCCAGCATTTTCCTCAGCGCTGGAATTCCTTAAGATCTGCTGGAAAAGTCTCGTTGTATCAGACAAGCAAAAACCGAGAGAGCATTCCATATTTTCTACTACATGATCGCTGGTGCTAAGGACAAACACAGGGGTAAGACAGGACAGTCATTGTTGATCCAATCATTTTTAATTGACGCTTGGATAAGGCCAGTATTGTTATATTGTTGTGATACAGGCTTGTACTGAACCAGCTTTTCCAATTACACCAATCAACCCTTTCTGGCCTATTTGTGCTTTCATTTCCATTTTAATAGTGAAAAAATTAAAATAATAATAATGATTTAAAAAATATTGTTTGACTTGTAATATGTGAAATTGCACTTAGCTATATGAATTTGTATTAAAACAATGTAAAATGTACAATCATGCTTAAGCAGACCTACAAGTTTTTGAGTATTGGTGAAAGTCCATTTTGAAAACCAGGGGGTGCTTCACTTGTAAGCACTAAGATGCATGTAGCTCTTTGAGGCTGTTAAAGGCTAAAGAAACTTTCAAACACTACAAAAGCAGTAGATGTGAGCCACCCCCTTTCATATCTGGGGCCATTCTCCTGAAAAAGAGATAATGAATTTAAATAAAGGGTATTTTCTTTGGTTAATTAAATAAATAACAAAAAGCTACACAAAAGACTAAAGACTAACCAAAGAGATTAAACTAGATCCGCTTCTCAGATGTTCTCGCGGTCATCACATCATTTTTGAAAGTTGTAATTTTGTGCTGTATTTTCAGAGGAGCTTCTTCTGGAGTCGTTCAGTAACTACAGGTTCCTGAGTGCGGGTCAAGTCGGGATCACAGGACAAGAGGACGACGAGATGTACGAGGAGACGATGGAGGCAATGGGCATCATGGGCTTCACTGAGGAGGAGAGACTGGGTAATGCAGTGTTTCCCAACTGGGGGTACGCAACATTGTTACAGTATTATTTTTGACTTGTAAGGCCCTCAAAATGGCCCATATTATAAACGTATTACTACCATTATAAATTGAGACGGCAGGAGTGCTACTTGGATCAGCTTTAAGATACAAAAATTGAAAGACTGAGGGACACAATAACGGATATTATTAAAAGACTTAATTCTCACATGGCTTTTCGGCACTGGGCCTTCATCAAGGCATTCAGGGCCTTCAGATGAACGCTGCTGAAACGCAAAGGTACAAATAAAATAGTCATTCTTTGTAACTTGGTGTTTCAGATATCCTGAAAGTGTGCTCCACAGTCATGCAGCTTGGAAACATTACATTCAATAAAGAGAGGAACCAGGAGCAGGCCACGATGCCAGACAACACAGGTAAAATACAGCCACTAATAAAGTAGTGAAAACATGACTGCAGCATTAAGCCTGTTGTGTGTCTCCAGCGGCCCAAAAGGTGTGTCACCTGCAGGGCATCAATGTGACCGACTTCACACGAGCCATTCTCACTCCACGCATCAAAGTGGGACGAGAGGTGGTGCAGAAGGCCCAGACCAAAGAGCAGGTAACCCCCACTGTGAAGTATCAAGCTTTTAACTCAATTTACCCAGATGAAGCTAAGGTGATCCAATGCTATATTTCGAATATTCCATGTGCGTCACATGGGAACCAGGGACGTGCAGTCAGGGGAGGCAGGGGAGGCAGAGCCTCACCTGCCATTATTGGAAACTAATAATTATTTTAGTTTAAATATATAATTTATATCCACTGTCCTATGCTTTTAATGTATATTCGGCACGGTTCCCATCAGTTTTGATCATTTCTGAAGTCAAAATCGCCGAAATCCCGTTATTCCTATTCAAAGAGACGAGGTGAGGCAGCGCTCCTGCGTGCCTCACCCCAGACCGCTCCCTCACAGTGTGTGTGTGTGTGTCTGAGTGCACTCAGCTCGTGCAGTTGATATATCACCGTTTGTTTCAAATATCCTGCTTTAAAAACATTTTTTAAACTCCTCTTAGTGTTTAGTAGTGTATTGCACGTATGTGTGTACAATTTATATTTAGTTTAAGTCTTTTGATCGTAGATGAACACACAAGGAAAAAGCTTGGCGTGAGGCAGGCGGTATCTGTGCCTCACCGCTAGGGGTGATAGTGAGCATAAAGTTCATACCAGAGTTGCTAACAAACAATCAGCCCAAAATGCTATTTCTTTTGCTGGAAAATGGATGATTTGAATGAAGGTTTTTTTCTCAATTGGACTTTCAAACAAAGAAAGAATTAATATAGACTGGGAGACCACCACTGGACTTACGAGGTTAGTCCGGCTGCGGGGGAGGAGTTTGTTAATCTGTGTTTTATGTTGAACATTGACAGATACCGGCAAAGTAGTGCTTTTCCGAAAAACACTGATTCAAACACTGCTCAAGAGTTCTGCAACTTGTTTAAATTATTGTTTATGTTCCTCGCGTCTCTCTCTCCTCGCGTCTCTCTGCTCCTCGCGTCTCCGTCTCTCTGCTCCTCTCCGTCTCTCTCTGCTCCTCGCGTCTCCGTCTCTCTGCTCCTCTCTGTCTCTCTCTGCTCCTCGCGTCTCCGTCTCTCTGCTCCTCTCTGTCTCTCTCTGCTCCTCTCTCCTCGCGTCTCTCTCTCCTCGCGTCTCTGTCTCTCTCTGCTCCTCGCGTCTCCGTCTCTCTGCTCCTCTCTGTCTCTCTCTGCTCCTCTCTCCTCGCGTCTCTCTCTCCTCGCGTCTCCGTCTCTCTCTGCTCCTCGCGTCTCCGTCTCTCTGCTCCTCTCTGTCTCTCTCTGCTCCTCTCTCCTCGCGTCTCTCTCTCCTCGCGTCTCTCGCACCTGCGCTTCTTAAAGATGTTGTTTGATGCGGAGCAGAGTCAGCAGCTAGATTTGTTGTGAGATTATTAAAAGAAGCTGGTTCTCTTATCTTTACAGTATATAAAGTTTGTGGATGTCATTGCATTGGTGATTAAATGCTATTTTATTTGAATAATGATTGTAAATCTGACTTTTAAAGTCAGTGCCTCCCCAATCACAAACCTCACCGCACGTCCCTGATGGGAACATTAGACAAACAATATTATTTTCAAACGATATTTCACAACATGCAACTTATTAGCAACTATTTACATTTATTATAACATAATTCCCCCCTGGACTGCCACCTTAACGTGGTGGGGGAGTTTGAGTACTCGGATGATCCTGGGAGCTATGCTGTCTGGGGCTTCATGCCCCTGGTAGGGCCTCCCATGGCAGACAGGTCTCGGGTGACGAGTCAGACAAAGAGCAGTCCAGAAGACACCATGGACAGCACTCATACGAAACCAGTGACGTCGCCCGGCATGGCGCAGCCGGGGCCCCACCCTGGAGCCAGGCCTGGGGTCGGGGCTCGTAGGCGAGCGCCTGGTGGCCGGGCCTTAGCCCACGGGGCCCGGCCGGGCTCAGCCCGAATGGACGACGTGGGCAGTCCCTCCTGTGGGCCCACCACCTGCAGAGGGGTCCGTGGTGGCATGGTGCAGAGAGGACTGGGCAGCAGTCGAAGGCGGAGACCTCGACGACCCAGTCCGCACACACAACAGCTAGCTCTCGGGACGTGGAACGTCACCTCACTGGGGGGGAAGGAGCCCGAGCTTGTGGGGGAGGTTGAGCGATACCGACTAGAGATAGTCGGCCTCACCTCCACACACAGCTTGGGCTCTGGAACCCAACTCCTTGAGAGGGGTTGGACGCTCCACTTTTCTGGTGTTTCCCGCGGGGAGAGGCGGCGAGCTGGGGTGACCATTCTTATTGCCCCCCATCTCAGCCGCCACGTGTTGGAGTTCTCCCCGGTGAATGAGAGGGTCGCGTCCCTCCGCCTCCGGGTGGGGGACAAGTCTCTCACTGTTGTGACGGCCTACGGGCCTAACAGCAGTGCAGAGTACCCGGCCTTCTTGGAGTCCTTGGGAGGGGTACTGGACGGTGCACCGCCCGGGGACTCCGTTATTCTCCTGGGGGACTTCAACGCCCATGTGGGAAACGCCAGTGACACTTGGAGAGGGGTGATCGGGAAGAGCGGCCCCCCTGATCTGAACCCGAGCGGTGTTCAGTTGTTGGACTTCTGTGCCAGTCACAGTTTGTCCATCACGAACACCATGTTCGAGCACAAGGGTGTCCACCAGTGCACGTGGCACCAGGACACCCTAGGCCGGAGGTCGATGATCGACTTTGTTGTCGTATCATCTGACCTTCGACCGCGTGTCTCGGACACTCGGGTAAAGAGAGGGGCGGAGCTGTCAACCGATCATCACCTGGTCGTGAGTTGGATCCGCTGGCAGGGGAAGAAGCCGGTCAGACCTGGCAGACCCAAGCGTATAGTGAGGGTCTGCTGGGAACGTCTCGCTGAGCCCCCTGTCAGACGGACTTTCAACTCACACCTCCGGAAGAGTTTCTCCCAGGTCCCGGTGGAGGAGGGGGACATGGAGTCCGAGTGGACCATGTTCTCTGCCTCAATCGCCGATGCGGCGGCCTGTAGCTGTGGTCGCAAGGTCTCTGGTGCTGGTCCCGGCGGCAACCCCCGAACCCGGTGGTGGACACCGGCAGTAAGGGAAGCTGTCAGGCTGAAGAAGGAGTCCTATCGAGCCATGATGGTTCGGGGGACTCCTGAGGCAGCTGTCCAGTACCGGCAGGCCAAGCGTGCCGCGGCCCGGGCTGTTGCAGAGGCAAAAACCCGGGACTGGGAGGAGTTCGGAGAGTCCATGGAGCATGACTATCGGTCGGCCTCAAAGAAATTCTGGCAAACCGTCCGGCGCCTCAGGAGGGGGAAGCAGTTCTTTGCCAACACCATGTACGGTGCGGGTGGAGAGCTGCTGACCTCGACGGGGGATATTGTCGGGCGGTGGAAGGAATACTTTGAGGTTCTCCTCAATCCCCCCGTCACGTCCTCTGTCTCAGAGGCAGAGGCTGAGGATGCTGGGGCGGGTACATCCATCTCCCTGGTTGAGGTCACCAAGGTGGTTGGCAGCCTCCATGGTGGCAAGGCTCCGGGTGTGGATGAGATCCGCCCTGATTATCTAAAGTCTCTGGATGTTGTAGGACTGTCTTGGCTGACACGTCTCTGCAACATCGCGTGGCGATCGGGGGCGGTGCCAATGGAGTGGCAGACCGGGGTGGTGGTCCCTCTCTATAAGAAGGGGGACCGGAGGGTGTGTTCCAATTATCGTGGGATCACACTCCTCAGCCTCCCCGGTAAGGTCTACTCCAAGGTACTGGAGAGGAGGCTACGGCCGATGGTCGAATCTCGGATCCAGGAGGAGCAGTGTGGTTTTCGTCCCGGTCGCGGAACACTGGACCAGCTCTACACTCTCCATCGGATACTCGAGGGTTCATGGGAGTTCGCCCAACCTGTCCACATGTGCTTTGTGGATTTGGAGAAGGCGTTCGACTGTGTTCCCCGGGGTGTCCTTTGGGGGGTTCTCCGGGAGTACGGGGTCGGGGGTCCTCTGCTGAGGGCCATCCGGTCCCTGTATGACCGGAGCCAGAGCTGTGTTCGCATTGCCGGCAGTAAGTCAGACCTGTTCCCGGTGAATGTTGGCCTCCGACAGGGCTGCCCTTTGTCACCGGTTCTGTTCACTGTATTTATGGACAGAATATCTAGGCACAGCCAGGGGTCGGAGGGGGTCCGGTTCGGGGACCACAGGATTTCATCTCTGCTGTTTGCGGACGATGTTGTCCTGTTGGCTCCAACGAACCAGGACCTGCAGCATTCACTGGGACGGTTTGCAGCCGAGTGTGAAGCGGCTGGGATGAGAATCAGCACCTCCAAATCTGAGGCCATGGTGCTCGACCGGAAAAAGGTGCCCTGCCCTCTTCAGGTGGGTGGAGAGGTCCTTCCTCAAGTGGAGGAGTTCAAGTATCTCGGGGTCTTGTTTCACGAGTGAGGGAAGAATGGAGCGTGAGATTGACAGGCGGATCGGTGCAGCGTGCGCAGTGATGCGGTCGCTGTATCGGACCGTTGTGGTAAAGAGGGAGCTGAGCCGAAAGGCAAAGCTCTCGATTTACCGGTCAATCTTCGTTCCCTCCCTCACCTATGGTCATGAGCTTTGGGTAATGACCGAAAGAACGAGATCGCGGATACAAGCGGTCGAAATGAGCTTCCTCCGCAGAGTGGCTGGGCGCTCCCTTAGAGATAGGGTGAGGAGCTCAGTCACACTGGAGGAGCTCGGAGTAGAGCCGCTGCTTCTCCACGTCGAGAGGAACCAGTTGAGGTGGCTCGGGCATCTGTTCCGGATGCCTCCTGGACGCCTCCCTGGGGAGGTGTTCCGGGCACGTCCCACCGGGAGGAGGCCCCGCGGAAGACCTAGGACACGCTGGAGGGACTATGTCTCTCAGCTGGCCTGGGAACGCCTTGGGGTCCCCCCGGACGAGCTGGAGGAGGTGTGTGTGGATAGGGAAGTCTGGGCGTCTCTGCTTAGACTGCTGCCCCCGCGACCCGGCAACGGATAAAGCGGAAGAAAATGGATGGATGGATGGATAACATAATAATTCTATTTATATTGTAACAACCCCATTTGACTGTTCATAACTGGCCTACTCATTATTTCTGTGCTGTGTTTATCCCAGGCTGATTTTGCCATCGAAGCTTTGGCTAAAGCAATCTTCGAGCGTCTCTTCCGCTGGATACTGTCCAGAGTCAACAAAGCTCTGGATAAAACCAAACGTCAGGGCGCCTCTTTCCTGGGAATCCTCGATATTGCAGGATTTGAGATCTTTGAGGTATGGATCATAAATATATATTTTCATATTATTTTTAAGTTGAAAGTTTTTTTCATTTTGAAAGACTGCACGCCGTCTGCACAAACCAGATTTTCTTTATTGGCATCTGGAAAAAATGTGCATCCTGTGGATATCAGAAAAACATGATGGTTTTGATTCTGTTTCAGGATAACTCGTTTGAGCAGCTGTGCATCAACTACACCAATGAGAAGCTGCAGCAGCTGTTCAACCACACCATGTTCATCCTGGAGCAGGAGGAGTACCAGCGCGAGGGCATCGAGTGGAACTTCATCGACTTCGGGCTGGACCTGCAGCCCTGCATCGAGCTCATCGAGAGACCAGTGAGGCTCTCACTATAATAAGTCTGCCTCTGGAATCAACAACAATAATCCAATCACATTCTTAAACTCAGAAGATAGGCATCACATGCATTGATATGACTTAATGCAGGTCAAGTTCGACATGAAAATGACATTGATTACACTTTCTGGTCTTTGTTTTAACCTAACTATGATAGACAACAAAATATTATGACAGGCCCTAGGCGTAGGTGAAAACATTTTGTCTTCTCTCCCTTTGCTTCTTGCTTAAACAATATGGCTATAATGCATAAGAATTAAATTGTCCACCACAAGCACTCACATCAGATCCTAAACACGATGCAAAGTGTCTTGCCTAAGGACACAGGGACTGGTGGCAAAACTGTGGCACCTGATTTTCAAACCAGGCTCCGATGTGCTTCGCTTTAGAGATCAGGCAAAATATTATGCAATCAGACAAATAGCCACTTCACAGGTAGTTATATACATTTTGTGTAAGTTTATAAGTGTATTAGCAGAATAAGTGAATGTCTCAAGTGACCCCTCATGATGCTATGATAAAGTCAGTTATTGAACGTCTCTTTGATTTTGTGCAGAACAACCCTCCTGGCGTCTTGGCCCTGTTGGATGAAGAGTGCTGGTTCCCCAAAGCTACGGATGTGTCATTTGTGGAGAAGCTCGTAAAAACACAAGAAAACCATGTGAAGTTTTCTAAACCCAAGCAGCTCAAGAGCAAGACAGAGTTCTCCCTTTTCCATTACGCCGGAAGAGTAAGTATCGATGTCCACAAACATTGTATCGATAGTGGTTTTCTTATTGATGTTGTGATGTAATGTTTCTAGGTGGACTATAATGCTGCAGCCTGGTTGACCAAAAACATGGACCCTTTGAACGACAATGTGACTGCTCTTCTGAGCAACTCATCGAGCCAGTTTGTTCAGGAACTGTGGAAAGACAGTAAGACTAAAGATGTTATTGTGTTAAAGCTGTATATTTGAGCCATCTTTATTCTACTGCATTCACCATTTCACTTTTCGCTGCTCATTGCCACTGCTCTTTTGTTTATTAACTTGGAAAAAAAATCTTTGGAAAGTATATCTCAGTGTCAAAGATTTTAACTACACAGCAGAAAGCTCAATATGTCTTCTATAAGAATGAAAAACTTGTGTTGTGAATTTCAGCGGACAGAGTGGTGGGTCTGGACACGATCGCCAAGATGACTGACAGTTCGATGCCCAGCGCCTCAAAGACAAAGAAGGGAATGTTCCGGACTGTGGGGCAGCTCTACAAAGAGTCTCTGGCGAAACTGATGACCACTCTGCACAACACACAGCCCAACTTTGTCCGCTGCATCATCCCCAACCACGAGAAGAGGGTAAAGATACGCCCACAAAGGAAACAAACACAACACGATACATACAGTAGAAACTGGAAGTTTTTCTCATTGTTCGGAATTAAACTTATTTTTAGAAAGTAACATAAATCATTCAGAATATCATATAAACTTTATGGTAAATTTTTGTCTTTTTCCAGGCTGGGAAGTTGGATGCTCACCTCGTTCTGGAGCAGCTCAGGTGTAATGGTGTTTTGGAGGGGATCAGAATTTGCCGGCAAGGATTTCCAAACCGGATTGTGTTCCAGGAATTCCGTCAGAGGTTTGTTAAAGAATATGTGTGTTCTGTATTTTTACAAATTGTTCTGATTTTAATACTGATAACTTTTAGATATGAAATCCTGGCTGCAAATGCAATTCCTAAAGGGTTCATGGATGGGAAACAGGCGTGCTGCCTCATGGTAAAGTAGCATCACTAGCATCTGAAGTAGATGCAGCTGCTTTCTTACGATAGTTTTCTGTTGTCTGTGTAGATTAAACATCTGGACTTGGACCCAAACTTGTACCGGATCGGGCAGAGTAAGATCTTCTTCAGGACGGGAGTGTTGGCTCAGCTGGAGGAGGAGAGAGACCTGAAGATCACCGTCATCATCATCGCCTTCCAGTCCCAGGCCAGAGGCTTCCTGGCCAGAAGGTGAGACACTCTACAAGTTATAGTAGAAAAGACAATATTACTCAAGGTGGAGTAGACACAATTATAAATGAGTTGGTCAAAGGATAGTTCAATGATTAAAATATCAATGCTACATGTTCAGTTGAGAGCACCAGATAACAATCTGAGATGCAAAATTGTTTGAAGAAGTTTAAGAAAAAAAACAAAGAGAGGGGAGTGCAGAGCAAGGTTGATGCTCAATCCATTTCACTTTTTTATCTGGGCATTTAGATTATATTTTACAGTTTACTTGAAATGGTTTCATATGTTTAATGGCTTCAGACTTTCTTCTAAGAAGAAAGAAGTAGAAAAGTTAGTACAGCCTAATTACCTATCTACCTAATTATCAGTTATTTACACTCAAGAGACTTGTCTTATAAGTAGCACAACTTCAGCCTTAAATATGAAGACAACATCATTCTCTTTCTAAATGATGGCCTGTGTATTCTAAAGGGCTTTTGCAAAGAGGCAGCAGCAGCTCACAGCCATGAAAGTGATTCAGAGAAACTGCGCCGCTTACCTCAAACTCAGGAACTGGCAATGGTGGAGGCTGTTCACAAAGGTGCTCTATTATTATTACTGTCGGGATTTATCGACATTTAAGACTTGTTGTTGAACAGTCGCTCAGCTGTGTTTGCTTTGGTTGCACAGGTGAAGCCGCTACTGCAGGTGACCCGACAGGAGGAGGAGATGGGCCTGAAAGAAGAGGAACTGCAAAAAGCCAAAGATGTCGCAATAAAGTTTGAGTCTGAGCTCAAGGAGATCACACTGAAACACACAGGGGTGAGAACTTTAATGATCTATACGAGAAAACTAATGTAATGCAATTCAATGTGAGAAAAAGTTATTAATTTATAATGTAGTTAAGGCTTGAATTGAGTAGTTTTGCCTTGATCATACATTTTGACTGTCTTTAAACAAGATTTGCGAATGGAATAAGTAGCAATTTGTTTTATCACTCCATTCATTTACTTGGCTCTAAATTAACAAGAAATATTTTCTCGTGCCAGTGATGTTTTAAAGACTGATTTCTCAAACCAGTATCTAGTTTCGATACTAGTTTTAGAATGGACGAACATCTCATTTAAATACTTCCACATTCCTAACCTGGTACTCTCTGCTGTAGGTCCTGGAGGAGAGGAATGCGTTGCAAGAGCAGCTGCAGGCGGAGACAGAGCTGTACGCTGAGGCGGAGGAGATGAGGGTTCGACTGGCCGCAAAGAAACAGGAGCTGGAGGAGATCCTGCATGAGATGGAGGCGCGGCTCGATGAAGAGGAGGAGCGTGCACAGTCCCTGCTTGTGGATAAGAAGAAGATGCAACAGCAGATGCAGGTCAATTAGGGGCGGGCGATACTGATGAACATAAAGATTATAAATAACAACATTTTGCCACTGACAGGATTTTCCTTATTTCTTGTTTGAGTATAAAATGCAGAGGACCAACTTCTCCAGAGGGACTATAAAGTACTGTATAAGTTGAATTCATCAGTGAGGATAATTCAGCAAGATATGAATATATTATATAATCTCTCAGAAATAGTACAAAGCATGTAGCGTATATGCCCAGTATTTGAATTGTTGAACAAGAGGACTCCATATCAAATCCATGCACTTAATTTTCCAAATCTAAAGTTTTGAAAAAAAGATTGAATTGTTGTTTAAAGATCTCTGAAACTTATAACTACGTTGATCTCCAAAAAAGGACTTAACGCCTCGACTGATGTCCAGCAGCATTTAATTTCATACAGTACAGGCATTTGGAACACCGTGAAAACTGCAAAGATCAAGGAGGAGAGTAAATTTCCATACAGTAAATCACAAATTGTTACAGGCCTCAAAATAAAAGACACAATTAAATAAAAAGGTTACTGTGTGCGCCTTAGTAAACCAATTGTAGAATAATAACGGCTTATTAAACGAGCGCGAGGTCTGTACAGAGAAATATCAGACCGCGGCCTTAATGTACAGACCGAGCCGTGGCGAGGTCTGTGCATTAAGGCCAAGGTCTGATATTTCTCTGTACAGACCGAGCAAGCGAGTTTAATAAAATTTTTATTATATGACTATTTCTAATTTATGCCAATATCAATCTCCTACTTGGTTTTCCTAATCAGGTTTTTAGCTTTCTGATCTGTAACGAAGTTGTCAATCTCTTCTTGACTGTTGGAAGTTGTGTTTTCGTCGTTATTTGCTGTTATTACTTCCTCTGACTCTTCGAACTCGTCCAG